CCGAAGGCCCAGTGCTGCCGTCCCATGCGTCCCGCACACCCATTTCGGCACACCCTCACACGTTTTTCGTGCCCCATAATAAGGGAGGCTCACCGAGGCCCCAGTGCTGCCGTCCGCATGCGACCCGCACTCCCATTTCGGCACACCCCTCACACGTTTCGTGGCCCCACAGGGAGCTCCACCGAAGGCCCAGTGCTGCCGTCCGCATGCGTCCAGCACACCCATTTCGGCACACCCCTCACACGTTTCGTGGCCCCACAGGGAGCTCCACCGAAGGCCCCAGTGCTGCCGTCCGCATGCGTCCCGCACTCCCATTTCGGCACACCCCTCACACGTTTCGTGGCCCCATAGGGAGCTCCACCGAAGGCCCCATGGCTGCCGTCCGCATGCGTCCCGCACACCCATTTCGGCACACCCCATCACACGTTTCGTGGCCCCACAGGGAGCTCCACCGAAGGCCCCAGTGCTGCCGTCCGCATGCGTCCCGCACACCCATTTCGGCACACCCCTCACACGTTTCGTGGCCCCATAGGGAGCTCCACCGAAGGCCCCATGGCTGCCGTCCGCATGCGTCCCGCACACTCATTTCGGCACACCCCTCACACGTTTCGTGGCCCCACAGGGAGCTCCACCGAAGGCCCCAGTGCTGCCGTCCGCATGCGTCCCGCACACCCATTTCGGCACACCCCTCACACGTTTCGTGGCCCCATAGGGAGCTCCACCGAAAGCCCCAGTGGCTGCGCCCGCATGCGGTTCCACCACCCATTCTGGCACACCCCTCACTCGTTTCGTGGCCCCATAGGGAGCTCCACCGAAAGGCCCCAGTGGCCTGGCCGTCCGCATGCCGTCCCGAAAACACATTTCGGCACACCCCTCACACGTTTCGTGGCCCCACAGGGAGCTCCACCGAAGGCCCCAGCGCTGCCGTCCGCATGCGTCCCGCACACCCATCTCGGCACACCCCTCACACGTTTCGTGGCCCCATAGGGAGCTCCACCGAAGGCCCCATGGCTACCGTCCGCATGCGTCCCGCACACCCATTTCGGCACACCCCTCACACGTTTCGTGGCCCCACAGGGAGCTCCACCGAAGGCCCCGTGGCTGCCGTCCGCATGCGTCCCGCACACCCATTTCGGCACAACCCTCACACGTTTCGTGGCCCCATAGGGAGCTCCACCGAAGGCCCCATGGCTGCCGTCCGCATGCGTCCCGCACGCCCATTTCGGCACACCCCTCACACGTTTCGTGGCCCCACAGGGAGCTCCACCGAAGGCCCCAGTGCTGCCGTCCGCATGCGTCCCGCACACCCATTTCGGCACACCCCTCACACGTTTCGTGGCCCCATAGGGAGCTCCACCGAAGGCCCCATGGCTGCCGTCCGCATGCGTCCCGCACACCCATTTCGGGACACCCCTCACACGTTTCGTGGCCCCACAGGGAGCTCCACCGAAGGCCCCAGTGCTGCCGTCCGCATGCGTCCCGCACACCAGGTGCGTGGCGTGCCGACATGGGCGTCGCGGCGCGCGGGCGCTGCCGTCGGGGTTCCCAGGGAAACCCCCTGCAGAGGCGACGCTCAGAGTCACGAGTACCGAGAGTCACGCAGACCCAAACTGTTCACAGTCGTATACATACATTTACACTGGGCGTATCATGCACGCATTCATGCGAATAGAATCAATCGCGCGCAGATTCATTCATAATCAGACTCGCTCGCGATCCGACTCGCACGCGCTCAAGCTTTCATATTCGGACCTATCGTCTTCGTTCGTGTTGTGTACACTGCCACGCATTTCGGCACACCCCTCATACGGCTCGTGGCCCCATAGGGAGCGCCACCGAAGAAGATATTCACAATTGCGGTACTCTCAACTGCATATGGTTGGAACCTTCGCCAGGCTAGTGTTTTTTATGTTTTAACCATTTGGGGGTATGTTTGTACAGTTGTTCCCATATCCTAAGATGGGGCTCTTGTTATTACTTGGACGCCTCCTACTCCTTCTTCTTCCTCTTCTCCTCCCCTTTCCTCTTCATACCCAGACTTACTCATACACAGACTGACTCACACTCAGACTTACTCATACCCGGACTTACTCACACACAAAATTACTCATACTCAGACCTACTCATACTCAGACCTACTCCTACTCAGACTTACTCAGAACTCCTACTCAGAGTTACTCATGCTGAGACTCACTCATGCCCAGACTAACTAATACTCAGACTTTTTTCCCAGACTTTCTCATACTCATACATGCCCTTTCATTGTCTGATTTATTCCACACACACAGCAGATTGTGAGGATGTCTCAGGCGGGGCGCTGGCTTTAGCCCCCCTAAGGGGAGCCGCCAGGGGTGTTTTCACGGTCCCGTTCGCGGCCGTTTTGTGGGGATGTCTCAAGCAGTTTGCCTGTTTTTTGTCCCAGCATGGGTTTCTTTTGCTTGCTTTTGGGCACTCAACCCCGCCTGGAGAACGACTTCGAATGCGTTTCTTCTCGGCCTGTCTTTCTATGGGTTGCTTGCGGCCGCCGGGGAATCGATTGCGAGGCGCATTGCGGAGGGTCGCTACGCGGCTTTCCACGACGGGGGCGTTGCGCTGACATGGAGGTTCAATTCGGAGCTGAGAGCTTCCCAGAGCAGAGGAGGATCGACTCTGAGGCTTTCCACCGATATGTCACAGCATCAGTGCAAAGCTCAGACTTGGTTGAATCGTGCATGAAGACTCTGGGGAGAAACCCCAGGTCCCGCGCGCGCCCCCCCGCCCCGCAATGCATGCGCGCATTGCCGAACTTGGACTCGCGTTCAACCCGGCCGAGGCGACGGCGGGCGACGGCGCCGCGGTGCGGGGGAAGTTGATCACCAGATACAAACGAACCTGCCACGGTCGCACGTGGCGTCGTTCGCTCGCGCAAGGACTTGGGGCTGTCCACGTTCGGCCCAGAGGATTGCGCGGACAGAGTGGAACTCGATGGCGACGGAAAGTCGATTGCAGGTAGGGCTGGAATAATGGGCGCGGCGGGCACAGAAGCCGCCGTCGGCGCAGCCGGCGGCGCTTCTTCGGCGAACGGACCCAGTCCGATCAGCGCGCCCGCGCCTGGACCCGTTGCTGACTCAGCCAGCGGCGGTGCCTCGGCATCCTGGCTAGCGCAATGCAGGTCGATGACCTGCAGGGCAAGGCTGCCGGTTCAACTAGTGGTCGCCAATCGTGGGCTGATCCGTCAGCGTCGTTAGCTCCGCCTGCGGCCGCGGTGCGGCACCCGAGTTTGCCGGCGCCGCAGCCGCCGCCTGCTCACCGAGAGCCTGAGAGCCCTCGCCATAGAGGCCCTCCCCCGATGGGGAGGGGGGCGCGCCGCCGCCGCCCGAGGCAATGCGAGCGGCGAGGGCGCGCGGCGGTGGAGAAACGCGCCCAGTGGGTAGGTCCATCTGCCACCGCCGCCTCTGTCGCGTCATCGGCGACGTGGCAGTTGGGCAGAGGCGTCCGAAAGGCCTGCAATGATGATGGCGCTGGGGCCCGAGGCGCAACCATGCATTTCTATATTGGAACTGGATGGTGGGCTCGCAATGAGTATTGTGAGACGTAGGACTTCCAATGACTACAAGTGGAAATTCAACCTTCCCTCGAAATGGGCAACGGTGATATTGCAAATGTTTTAGAGGTAAAAGATCATGCCGCGTGCAATTCGGAAGCCCGTCGCAGTTTGAGATAATCTTGTCGACTGCCGATCGGTGATGAGGGGCGCACGATTCAATCCTTGGCCCCCTCGAGAGGCAGATCCAGACCTCGACAATGCGCGGCTCAGCCGCGCACTGCTCGGCGGCCGCAGGGAGGAGATGAGATCGTGAGCGTCGCGCTAAGTATTCGCGCTGTACTGCGTGTGGGATGCGTCAGTCTGCTTCGGCCCGCGTCTTGCGAACCCAGCCCCGCGCGGTGTCAAGACTGCGTTTAGGGATTGACGCTAGGGCGGCCAACGCGCCTGGGGATTGCGCGGAGCTTGGCAACTCCGACGGGGGCTGTTGTTAGGCCTGCGCGTCCTGCCGCGGGGGGTGTTCATGCGGCGCCTCCCTCGCCCGCTCTCGCCGCCGCCGCTGTGTTGCCGCTTGGCGCCCGTTGGCTGCCGCTCGCTGTCGTGGATGTTGATCTGCAGCTGTTTGGGCTACGCAGGTAAAAAAGCAGCGCGCGCCCGCCTTCTCTCTGGGGCCGGGCACGCGCACGCACATCGTAGTTTTTTGTGTAACAGACGATCTTTTAAAAAAGCCATGCCAGTTACGAACAATCCGAACTGTGGGAGTGACTATCAGAGTACCATGGCAAGACAAGATGACTTACCATTGGCTATGCCAGAATATGTTTGGGTTTTGGCCCGTAACAAAACCGGACCTGTTTCGAGCCTTCAGCAACCCAAGCAACATTGCTGTCTTGATTCTCTCGATTTGTTGGGGCAAGGCATCCGCGTGAACTTCAAAACGATGACACGGCCAGGAAACTGTATGCGCATCGCGTGGCCGGCCCGGCCGAGAGCTGGATTCATGTGGCGATATTTGTTAACCAGACATTTTTGGGACGAGTAGGTTGGGGTTTCCGCGTGCGCATCTACTACAGGGGAGGCCATTTCGGGGTCGGCCCAGTGCCGATCCAAGGATTCCGCGCGGTCCTCCGAGAAGCTATGGTTATGCCGCTTGTTGCTCCTCTTTTCTTCTATGTGATCTATCGTCGCGGCCGGCCGCCGGCGGGAACCTTCCGAGGCGCGTGCAGTTGCTGGCGGCGGTGCGGCGGCAAAACGAGGCCTCGGCGCCGCCGCGACGACGGGGCGGCGCGTACTTTGCCATGCAACCTGGGCGCCAACGGTTTGGGATGCCAGACTTATTTCGAGATTTTTTTCTGGCGTTGTTTTCGATTCCTGGAGGTCCTCTCGCCTCCAAAGGCCAAAGGCCTTCCAACGGCTGCGTTTCGTCGGGGGCGGGTGCCCGTGGACCGTCGCGATCGGTACTTTCCGGGGCGCACCGCCGCCGGGGGCCCTGACTTCCCAGCCCCTCGCGCCGCGAAGAAGCCACAACGTCCGGTTTTTTGTCAGCTTGGGTGTCCGGGGGGCCTTACCATCGCGGGCCTGGAGGTTGACACCAACACAAATATCGGCGTTGTGCCTCCACCGACGGACGAAGATTCCGATCTCGGTAATGGTGGCAAGATTTTGGCTTCCAGGGTGACCTAACTATTACCACCAACACCGAACTCGAGGATCATCTTCCCCCTGTGGAGGCATACCCCTGTCTTGGTGTTAGTGCCCATTTCCAGGCCTCCAAGTCCAGGCCTCGGGACCGTCGAAACAAGTTCCAGATGAAACACTCATCCCCAGAAAGGGGTCTGGACCTCTGGGGGTCCACGTTGTGAGCAAAGCGTGGCGGGTCTGGGTTGCCCCCGGTCGACAGTGTGCTGCTGTTAGAATGATAAAAACGAGCTCCCGTCCCGCCTCGCACATCCCGCATGCCGCGGCCGCCAGGCCCAAAGTGTGCCCGCGCTCCCTGGCTATCCCGCCTCGTGCCTTCGACGAATGGCGAGTGCAACCGCGGTCGTTCGTATGTACAGTCAATCCGAACAGGAAGGATGGGCAACCGTCCCAAGGGTACCCTTGCATCCTTGCCTCCTCGGCCCATCCTTGGCCACTTTCGTTGGCCGCGCCCCGCTGGTAAAGCTTTGTCGTGGCCTTCTAAGGCCCTTGCATCCTCATGCTATACTGGTTGACCGTATCGCCTTGTGTTTTGGGCGGGGATCGTTCGCAGCAGTCATATTATTATGTGTTTTTTGTTCGTCTTCGTTGGCTGCTGGAGTTTTGCCCGCCTCCGGATGCCTTCCGGCAGCTGCGCCTTGTCGAGAGCCTTCCGGGGGCGCCTGGATCGCCCAGATCGGCCGCCGGAGGCCCGAGGGCCCGAGTGTTTATGGCCCGAGAGCTCGACTCGGCGTCCTCGCGCCGTGAGAAAGCGTCGCTGTGGAAGGACTTCGGCAGCCTTCGGCCTCGAGGGGCCCGCACCGGGCCCCTGGCCCCAGGGCCTGGGAAAAGAGTGCTTCGGAATGATGGAGACTGGCCCCCTCGGCACGGACGAAGTGGGTGCGGAAAGAGTGGGCACGATGCCCAACAGCAGTTCCTGTGCATTTTGAGCAGGACTCGCTGTCCGCGCCGCCGCGGCCTGTGTCCATTTGATACGGACGGCCGCCTGCCCAACAGCGGCCGCTATTGGTTTGGGACAACATTTGCTGTTGGGCATTGTACCCATTTGTTCCGTATTCATTTCGGGCGTCCAAATCCCAAGGAAGGGGTCCAGACCTCTTGGGAGAGGGGATGGTGCAATAGATTTGGTGCAATCGATGTGCGGGGTTGCAATACATGTGGGGCGTGCAATACATTCCAGGTCGCAAATGTATTGCTGGATTTTCGCGTACAATGCATTACTTGCAATACAGTGCAACACAATTCTCCGGCGCAGTACATTTGCAATACACTTGCCCCAAATCTATTTCACCACCCCGTTTCAGCTAGACCCTTTTTTGGGTCACCCAAAACGTTGCGAGCCAAAACATGACGTCGGACGTCTGATATCTGGGAGGGGCGGCCTTCACATAATGCGATTGGCTTCCTAGAAGCAAGGGTGATGGCTTCTTAGAGGCATAGGCTTCTTAGAAGCGAAGCCGCCCTCTGGGCTTCTAAAAGTCTTCTTCTTAAAAGCCACCATGCCGTTTCAAGAAGCTCTGTTCCTTCTGACTCCCCTCCGCCTTCTCATGACCCCCCCCCGCGCCACCTCCGCGTGCGCGCCTTCGTCGTGTCCCAACTGGCATCCGACGTTTAGCACAAGAGACGCTACCCTCATTGCTCTCTCACGGTACCGCCGCTGCACCCCCGCTGTACAGTCAACCATGACAGTAAGGATGGAGCAGTTTTCCAAGGCTACCCTTGCATCCTTGCCCATTCGGTGTTCGGCATCCTTCGACATTCTGCTGCGCTCCGCACGGGAAACGTCAACATGGCGTTCCAAGGCCCTTGCATCCTTACCGCGCATCCTTACTATCCTGGTCGAGTGTACTCCGCATCTCTCCGCTCCGCCTCTGGTCCCACCTTCGACGACCCTCGTCCGATGCCGCACACGCAGGCCATGTGGCCCGAGGGGACCCCAGGGGGGGGGCCTAAACGCGCAGCCTCGTTTCCTTTCCACTTGAGACTCGATCCAAACGAACTGACATGATGGTCCTGTTTTTCAACACCACCACCATAGGTGGGAGAGGGAGCGGGCCCTCCTGCTCCTCCTCCTCCTCCTCCTCCTCCTCCTCTTCGTCGTCGTCCTCCTCCTCCTTCTCCTTGAGACTTGAGTGTCGTCGAACCGATCCCCATCCCCAGCGGCGTGGCCTGGGTCCCACTGGCCGATTTACCCCCCCAGATGGGGTGTAGGCCGTTCCCTTCGGGTTTCGAAGGGTGTATCCCCAACTGGGGTGGCAATTGGGTGGGGGTCTCGAAGGGGATGGAGATGGGGATGGGTATCGGTCAAACTGTACCGAAGACTCGATCCAAGCCAACTGACAGCACAAGGGCTGAGACTCGGCGGGTCGCGTTGGGCAGGCGCACGCGCGCGGGGCGGGCGCGCGACTTGCGAGTGGCCCGCCGCGCCCCGCGCGGCGCCCAGGTGCAGTGACCCCCGAGGCACTTAGCTGCACTGGCGCGGGAGGGCCAACTACCCGACGCCGCGCAGCTCGTGGACCGCGCGAGAGTGCCGCAGGAGCTTCTCGGCCCTGCTCGTCGCCGACGGACCGGGCGCCCCCGCGAGCGCTGGCATGCTTGGTCTGTCCACGAGGCGAGCGAGCACGATGCCTTCCCAGGCACGGGCGTGCCCCCCCCCCCCGCAGCGCTTGCTTACTTTCAGGAGGGGAAAAACCACAGACACAATTCATCGTCGATCCCAAGGAAAATATGGGAAACTGTGGGAAGCGGGGGGGAAGACGAAAACCCGTAGAAATATGCGAAAAACATGGGGGATCCTGGGATGTGTATCTATTTCTTTGTCTGTCCCAGGGTCCCGTTTGTTCTCCCCCCCCCCGCAGCGCTTGCTCATCTCCTTCGCAGTCGTGACTGGAGTGGGCGCCGCCGTGCGCCTCCATGATGGCGCCTTCTCCCAGCGTGCCCACACCGTCAGGAAAGCGGCAGGCCGCCAGACCCTGGCTCGGAGGAGTTCAGTCGTTGGCGCGCCACGCGCGGCCACAGTTTGCGCATGGCCTCGACGAGCGTCGTGCTGACGGTGTGCTGCGCCAGAAACCCGGGGATCCAACGTATGGGAAAAGACAAGACGGAGGTCTTTCTCAGTTTTCGGCCTCTAGGGGCCCTCTCCGGGGCCCCAGGACCGTCAAACAACGACTCAGGATGAAAAACCGGTCCCTGAGAAGGGGTTGAGACTTCCAGGAATCCCGCAGTGAAAAAATCACGACATCGGATCTATCGGGAATTGCACAAGCGGTTGCCTGGCCGATTTCTCCCAGATGTGCGCACGGGACACATGTTTATATTTATACGACCACCCTGCGGGTGATAAGGAGATTGGGGGGGCAGCAATGGGCAACAGAGGTGACTGCTGTTCTGACGATGCCTTTGGAGCGCATATCGATGTACATGTCGATTTGCTTTTCGATCTGCATCTGGAATTGCATGTCGACGTATCGATGTGTATGTCGATTTGCTTTTCGATCTGCATCTCGATTTGCATGTCGACTTGCATTGGAAAGCTCGCCGCAGGCGCCGATTTTGTAAGTACGCAACCCACCGCGCCTTACGATTTGCATTTGGATGTGCATGTCGACTTGCATTTCGATGTGCTTTTCGGTTTGCGTGTCGGTTTGCATGTAAACTTGCATTGGATAGCTCGCCGCAGCCACGGCGGGACACCAGCGGGACTTTAGCGGGGCACCGCGGGGCACCGTTTGCCAGGTGGAGAGACTTTTGGTCCGGCCGCGGCCAAGCCACAGGAGGATTTGGGGACACCTGCGGGACACCGGCGGGACACCGCGGGCCACTGGCCGCCGGAGGAGAAACATTTGGTCCGGCCGCGGCCCAGCCACAGGAGGATTTTGGGACACCAGCGGGACACCAGCGGGACACCGCGGGCCACTGGCCGCCAGAGGAGAAACATTTGGTCCGGCCGCGGCCCAGCAACAGGAGGGAGGATTTCCTCTTGCCCGCCCACGCAGCTTCGCCTCGCCCGCACGCACGCACGGCACGCACGACACGAACCCGAAACCGAAGTCGATTTCCCGGTAGGGGGGGGGGTCTGCGTTTCACGTCGGACTCATCCCCCAACCTCCGATACAGTGTGCGCGCCAGCGCGTCCGCGCCGTTGTGATTGGTCAGAGGCGGTCCTTCTGTCATGACAAAGTCAGAGGAAGCGGCCCTGCCTGGGGACGATTGCAACACCTCGACGCTCCCGCCTTGATCGGAACGCCCTCGCGAGGGACGTTTACAGGAAGTGCTGCCGACTGATAGGAGGAGCAAGAATACGCATGCTGTCAAGAACAACATTCGCAGGTCGGGCCCCGATGGTTGGCGATCGAGTTGCCATATCAGTTTTCTGAGAAGAGCATCGAACATGAACACTTCGGGTTTTCCTTGCCGCACATTGCCCGCCTGCATGGCTCGTGCCGTCCGCCCTGCGGCTGGGGGATCGAAAGCATCAGCTGGGACGCGCGAAATGGCGCACACTTATTGACATGCGACGCGTAATTCGTCGATGTTGGGCCACCAGGCGGCGGCGGGA